TTATGTCCTTTTAAAAACACGTTCAGAGTAGATGTTACCGAAAAAACTGTCATTAAAAGTCGGCAAAAAGTAAATTTCCAGTTTCCAAGAAATCTCGAGCTATGGAAGTCACCAAACTTTGGTAGCCATTTTCTCGGTAACTTTACCTCTCATAAAAGGCAACCCCACCACCTTCAGTCACAAGTATCTCGACTTCAATTCAAGATAGAGGGATATTGCAAGACAAGTGAACAAGCTTTAGGACGATATTAATAACTTTAAATGCCAAAAATTTGATGAGCGCCCGATTCCACCGCGTCATGACAAATCAATCAATAGTCAATAGATTGTGTACAGTGTCATGATCAATAGTCAATAGATTGTGTACAGAGTCATAACCACTGACAAAGATTGTGAATAAATGTTTCACGCCCGCATCAACACAACTGAGATCATTTAGGAGTCGGGCGGCCTTGACCCTGTATGTCAGGAACAACCTGGGGGGTGTGGGGGAAGCAGCATCACCGACTGATGGAGCTACGGGATAAAAATAGCTTCACCTCCCCTGAACTAGACTGACGTCTTCCGCACACAGATGCAAACAGCTAGACAGTTTTACCGCAGAATATGGTGCCCTCATCATAACATTTTTAGTTTTCTTAAGAGTTTTTGTTTGTTTCAGTAGAGGTTTTACGGCACTTGCAACACAATAAGGTCATATAAGTGCCCAAGATTAGAGGTGTTACAAGAGAGTAACTAACACAAAAAAGGAGGAGAGATCAGGACGATAGATGTTTGATAGGAAAGAAGGAGCAAACCACACCAGAGCACCCACCAACCATCCACCATTACATTCAGTTTCTTCAAACAAAGGCTGTGACCAGCACAGAATTTCAAGCAGACGTCGATAGTGTGTTTAAAAATACCGACATAAATAGTCATACAAAAGCAGAGAGTTTGTAGCATTCCATTCTTTCCACTTTTTAAACAGGAATCTTTACCCCTTCATGACCTATGGTTTTTCCAACTTTTATGGCACCCAATTTTTGCTAGTCAGGACGTTCAAACCTATTGGGGTGCAGTTATAACATCCCGTACGGTGTATGTCCTAGTAGTAAGGTCCACGCAATTGCCATAATTGGCTGATTTTAGGACGTACATTGTACGAAAGGACAACATTTTGGCACACAATGTTGGACGTACGGTGTACGGGAGCTGTCACAAAGAGGCTAACACAACTGGAGTAATCCGTACATTACCTGCAGTACAAATCAGAACAAAGAGAAAAGAAAGGGCAGCAGAACAGTAATACAACTTCAAAAGTCACCCACAACATTTGCACCACAAACTTGAAATCACAACAATTGTCACTGTATCAGAACAATTGTCACTGTAATCACAACAATTGTCACTGTAATCACAACAATCGTCACTGTAATCA